GAAGTTAACCAGCTAACATTATACATACTCTTTTGGTTTCTGTACCCAATATTTAAAACATTTACAAATGCAATAAAAATATCGGTATCGGTACTCCGTATCGGCAAGTACCAAAATTAAAAGTATCGGTATCGGGCGAGTACTGGAAAAAGTGGTATCAGTGCATCCCTAGTTTTAAGTCATGGATGTAACAAAAATCAAACGTCTGTCTAATGTTGGGTTTGGATGTCAATCCAATTTTTCATTTTTCAAACCAAAATTTAACTTGACGTCCGGTGTCACCTGGGTTCACTATTTATATTTTTCATTAAATGTTCTGTTTCCATAACAACTGTTATTTCCATACAGGGTGTTCTTCCTCAAATCCCCAATCTGAGGCACATCATCTATGTGGACAGGAAAAGCATCAGCTCAGCAGGATATCCACAGGGTATCCAGATCCACAGCATGCACTCTGTGCAAGAGCTGGGAGCCAAGCCAGAAAACTGTAAGAAAGGGCACCAACTTTACGGTTGACATTTTATTTATACGCTAATTGACCTTTTCAGTGATTGGCTGTAGTTTACCCACAGTTCACCCATACAATATTGATTTGAATAGAGATTTGCACTGTAATAGATTAATCTCTATCACTAGAGGAGAAAACAATGTGCGCTTTGTGTTGCAGTGAGCCGACCCATAGTGAAGCCCATCTCATCAGACCTCGCTGTTATTATGTACACAAGCGGCTCCACCGGTAGACCTAAAGGGGTGATGATCATTCACAGTAACCTGATCGGGGGCATGGCAGGCCAGTGCGAGAGGATACCTGGATTAGGGTGTGTATAAATATCGATAGAGTGCCACAGTGGCCACCCACTTTTTTTCAGCAGCCTTAGTTCCGGAAGTGTTTTTCCCATTTATTTTTTTACCATAGTGATTTTAAAATAGCCTTTGTTATAGAGTTATAAGTCATGAACCAAACCAACAAGCTATGTGGTGAATCACAAGTCGGGAAGTTGTGGCTTAATGGGGAAGTCGTGGCCTAATGGTTAGAGAGTCGGACTCATAACCCAAAGGTTGTGGGTTCGAGTCTCGTACCGGCAGGGATTGTAGGTGGGGGGAGTGAATGTACAGCGCTCTCTCCCACCTTCAATACCACGACTGAGGTGCCCTTGAGCAAGGCACCAAACCCCCAACTGCTCCCCGGGCGCCGCAGCATAAATGGCTGCCCACTGCTCCGGGTGTGTGTTCACGGTTTGTGTGTGTTCACTGCTGTGTGTGTGCACTTTGGATGGGTAAATGCAGAGCACTAATTCCGAGTATGGGTCACCATACTTGGCCACATGTCACGTCACTTTCACTGTCACTTTCACAATATTATACACTTTGATTTGAAGCAAAACAGTATTTGAAAACCATCCAGAAAGACTGTGTATTTAACAGCTTTAATAAGGGAAAGAACTACAATCCCATAAAGCATTGCCAATCCAATTATATCAGGGATGGGCAACTTTGATAGTGACGGCCAGCATTTTTTCTTCTTTATATTAAGGGACCAGATTACTAATCCACGTCCACACACGTTTTACACCATTTTACTTAATTTCCTTTTTATTGAAGGAAATTAAAGTATAACTAACGTAATTTGTTTTTAAAGGTTTTATTTACTATAAAACTTGTGTAGTTATGCTAATTCAGAAGGAAACCTTTGTTGTCAGTGGACAGAAATATTACCCCAACAAGCCAACATCTCAATTGCATTGTCTGTAAATTTGCAACAAACAAATGTACAGAGGTCCTTTTTTTATTAGTTCAAATCTTCACATTTCAGCCTTTAAACAATTTTTAAGAAAAGGGATTAGTCAAAAGTATCAATTATTATATTAATTTAGACAATTATCAATTAATTATATTAAATAAAAATATAAATATATCTTAGTATCTTAATTGTTTAAATTTTTATAATGCATTAGCTTTTTGTCGATCCACTGGTTCACATTTAAAAATATGTAGCAAAAATAGCAGATGGGCTTATTGAGAAATCAAATTCGTTCTCTGCCAGCAGGTGTCACTTTCGGAACTGCAGAAATAGTGGTTTCCCCGGTAACCGCAGTACACAAAGCTGACGTGCAGCGCTCAAGTTTATTCAGTGAAATCATAAAGTTTAATCCATATTGCAATTCTTGTCTTTCCGTCCCCAAAGACCTCTTATAATTTAGACTTTTTGTACCATTTAAGAGTTT